CATGGCTGCAGTCTTCATCTGCGTTGATCTTGGAGCCCAAATAAATGAAGTCTCTTACTGCTTCCATTTCTACCCCTTCTATTTGCCAGGAATCCACCCTTCTATATATATGTAATTGTTTTGTTTTTAAATTGTGACATTCCTTCACCATTTTGCAGATGTACAAATTGGGGAGCTGGAAGGCATTAATGAACATTTTCCTTCTGTCTTCTCTAGGGAGAACGTGGCCCTCCAGGCAGTGCAGGTTACCCTGGTTTGCCCGGTCCCCCCGTAAGTAAAAGAAATATCTTCTTGCCACTCTTACTATAGGCCTGGTTCTTGTGGTTGAGGTGTTAGCCTGACTGTTTATTGTATTTTATGCTACGTTCTTATTAACTTTGTTGATTGCTCGGCAGCCAAATGGAGAAGAGTAGAATATTGATTTTGATTAGGGAGGGGTGGCAGTAGAATCCATCTATCAATAATGTCTCCATTGCTTTTTAACGGAGCTTCCAAAAATGGTTTATGATAGGTAACTTGTGACTCTCTAGATCAGTATTTCTCAACCATGGCCACTTGAAGATGTGTGGACTTCAACTCCCAGAATTCCCCAGCCAGCATGCTGGCTGGGGAAATTCTGGGAGTTAAAGTCCACACATCTTCAAGTGGCCAAGGTTGAGAAACACTGCTCTAGATATTGCTAATCATAGACTTCTGGGCTGTTAGCCACATCTGAGAATACTGGAAATTGTAATTCGACAACATCTAATGAGCCCACAGGTTTCCTGGCCCTGATATTTAGAATTTTAAAAAAAATTAAATCTGCGTTCTGTTTCTTCCTTGAGCTGGGAGGAATCTCTGTTGAAAATGATGAGACTCTTTCTAAGCTGACCTTTCCAAGATTTAGAACAAATCAACCCAAACATTAAAAGGCAGCAGAAATGATGAAGAGCCAGATAAAAAGACAATCTGGTTTTGAATTCAATCTAAGAAACCTGGGAGAATACAAAGATATTTACTTGGGGGCATAAGCCAACAGAGGAGGTGCTAGATTAATCTTTTTAGGGAAAGTTTTCTAAGAATTATTGGTGTCCTGCAGGAAGTGCTCTGCAGATGTCCATAAGATACAGGAAATTCTGTGCAGATATAGACTAAGGTCCCAAACTTTAAACTATAAATGTCAAAAAGAAGTAGCATATTCCACATTCTCAAAATGTTCATCTAGTTCTCAACCTCAGCT